TATTTAAAAGACTTGATATTCTTTCGACGATGTTAAAATAAAATTTGATGAACAAAAATTATGTCTAAATGTGAAAAAGAATATTTAAAATGAAAATAAAATAATTCTACCATTAAAAAAATAGTGACTAGATATCGGAGTTTTTGGGTTTGAGAAAGTGAGTGTTACGGCGTTGGAATGACCGTGAATAGAAGTAAAGTAATAGGCAAATGATGGATTCTTTGGAGTGCTTCAGATTTGCAAAGCCAGCAATGAGACAATATAGCATTATGGCGTCAGCCAATGCCAATAACATATATATTAAACTCATATGACCTCAATTTGCAAAATGACAAGTGGAAAATATTTCAAATCACTCACGCTTTTTCCTTCTTTTTTACTCTTCACTTTAGTTTCACTCTCTGCCTATATATACAATTTTAAAATTACAGAATATATATTTTTTGCCATATATTAATTTTTTTATTATTTAAAATAATAATCTCTATTTCAAATTGATTAAAAAATTCATATTAATTCATTTTTATTTATTTATTTATTTTTATTTTTATGATTTTTTTTATAGTTTTTCTCGAAATAAATACTACTATTATTACTTAATAATGCATTTATAAAAAAAACTGAGAAAAAGTTCAGTTATTTTCTATTACTTAATTAGTGTAATAAAAATTTAAAATGAATCAATTAAAAATGGATGGCTAAGTATTATACTAAAAATAAATAAATATTAAATGGATAAAAAAAAAAGGCGTTGCACAAAAGATTATGCAGAGTTGTCACTTCAGGCAGGGACGGAGCCAGGATTTCAATACTGGGGGGCCGATAGTCACTACCCAATCCTATTCCTATTGCCAGTGTTACTTGAGAATTGAGAATTGAGAATTGGAATGATCAAATGAGGCGCTACATTTTTTTATAAAAAAAAATTCCAAAGTGATACCACATAGCAGGCCGTACCAGAAGTCCAAAAGTTGAATAAAAAAATAAATTTAGGTTATTCATTTAATTATACATATGAGTTTATATTAAAAATAGGGGGTGCCATATAGTAATATATATGTATATAAAAAAAAATTAAAATTGTTGGGGGGGCCGTGGCACCCGTAGGTCCCCCCTTGGCTCCGTCCTTG